CATTCAACTGTTTAGCTTGTGGCGATTCACTAATTCATCCCTTCATGTCTTCATCTTTAGCAGACACCAGGCACTAAAGACTGGTAGCCTTATAAACAAGGGCAAGCCCAACAGCAACTCAAACATATACAAAACAAATGAATTAAATAAATCAAAAGGTAATGAACGCAAGGAAGAAAATAGCCAACTCAGTATAAGAGAGAATAATAAATAGGTTAAAATTGCCTCTATCACACAGCAATCCAGTCGATGTGGAAAGCCTATTTAGGGATAACCAGATTTCTGCTAGAGCGAAGAACTCAAGAGAGCAATCATAACAGAGTTTGTGGAAACAAAGGAGATTGCTGACAGCAAGGCAGGAACCACAAGGTATCAAACACTGAGCTTCATGTGAACACTTAAGCAAACTAAAAAGAGGGGCATAAGCAAAGTCACTGTCATAACAGTTTTATAAGGAAAAGTGGACGGACTAGGAGACAGTTTGGTCACTAACATGCTCGCCACACAAGCGTGAGTACCTGAGTCTGATCCTTAGAACCTGTGCATGATGGTTAACCTTGATTATCAACTTGATGGGATTTAGAATCACCATAGAAACAAATCTGTGGGTGTGCCTGTGAGGTACCATCTAGATTAGGCTCCTTGAGATGGGAAGACTCAGCATCAATGTGGGAGGTACCATCCCATGGGCTGAGGTCTGAACTTAAAGAACAAAGTGAGCTGAGCACAAGTGTGCATTGCTTCCTGACCATAGATACAACTTCACCAGTTGCCTACTCATTCTACAGCCAAACCTTCCCTACCATAGATTACATCCCGGGGAACTGTAAACAAAAATAAAATCTTTCTTCCAGAAGTAGCTTTTGTCAGACATTTTGTCAAAACTACAAGATAGGCAACAAATACATATGTATTTTTAAAAGCAGCATGGCACTGCTGTGCACTTGTGGTCCGAGCACTAGAGAATTCGGGGTAGTGGGATTCCTGGGGCTTGCTGGCCAGTCAACTAAGTCTAATCCAGAAGTGCAGGCCAGTGAGAGATGCTGTCCCCCCCCCCCCCCAAAAGGAAGTGGAGGATATCTGAGCAAGAGAAACAATACCCAAAGTTGACATCTGACTATCATAGGCATGTGATCCACAAAAGCATATGCACTCACATCTGCACATACATAAACACACACATACATATAAAAAGTGAGCTTTTTTTTAAGTTCTTCTGTCTTTAAGAGTTTGCTAAGTGTGCAATTCCTAAATGAAATCACTAGTCATTAAAGCATCTATTACTATTGCTCAATAAATTATAATGAACATATATTTTAATCATGGTTTTAAAACTGATTTCGATAGTTTAAAAATAAAATATAGCAAGTATACATAACGTTCTTTATATTATCAAATTCCTAATTGGTGTCCTGGAAACAAAAGGCAGAATGATACCCCCAGCATGCTGCTACATGTCCATGTGATTTAGTGAAATGAGTCCTCAGATGAAGTCCTCTCCCATGGACTAGGCATTACCATGACATAAGAGAGTTGAGACCTAAATACACATGACCATTATGCTCTGAGACAAAGTCAACAGTTGTCTACCTATGTCCTCTAAGGTAATGTCTTAGGATATGGTTAATGGTGTGGTTACTGTAAAATATATGCTAGGTTAAAAGGATATAATTCACCAAATATGAAGAATTGTGTTAATTTTTATATTAACTGCACTTTAAAATGTTAAAATATGGCATGCATTAAGTTAAATTAAGCTTATTATTAAAAATGATTTTTCTTATTTCTTTTAGAATTTTATTGTATCTATTAAAAACTCATTTATAATTTTAATCCTTCAAGAATTTTATACATGTATCCAGTGAAATGTGATCATGTATACCCCTATTGCCCACTCTCCAACTCCTCCTGTATTCCCTCCAATATCTCTCCCTCCTAATTTCATGAAATTGTTGTCGTCATTGTCTTCTTCTTCTCCTCCTCTTCCTCCTCCTTTCTCTTCCTCTTCCTCATCTTCTTCACCCCAGTAGGTTTAATAATTAAATTTAAAGAAGCCATGTGTGCCTGGGTGTAGCTGGAAGGTTTTCTCTGGTCCTGCCCAGCCCTGCAGACCCGCAGCCACTTATAAAATTATTGCTCAGAGGCTTAATATTATTTGCAAACTGTATGGCCTGTCGCAGGCCTCTTGCTGGCTAGCTCTTATATCTGAAATTAACCCATTTCTATTAATCTATGTTTGGGCACATTTTCACAGCTTTACTGATCTGCTGGCATGTTGCTCCTTGGGCGGCAGCTCGTGTCTCTCTAGACTCCACCTTTCTCTTTTCTGTCTCTCTCCTCAGATTTCCCACCTGCCTCTAAGCTGCCTTGCCATAGGCCAAAGCAGCTTATTTATTAACTAATAGGAGCAACATATATTCACAGCATACAGAAAGACATCCCCCAGTACCTGGGCATGGAGACATCCCGTGGAACATGGAAACCTACTGGCGGCCACACCTCCTAGCACAGTGATTCTTCCCTAACCCAGAAACTATCAACTGCCAGTAACTTCTCACTGACAGGTGAAGTCTGGAGAATGCCTTCCATCTCTGTGTGGCTCAGGACACATTTATATATTAGACAGTGCTAAACTCTAACTTCTTTGTGGTACTGAGACAGAAGAAACAGCAAAGGAGACATAAATTTTCACTGACGGTAAGTACTGGCCAGAGATTAAGCGCTGCCATGCAATCCTGAAACATCACAAGGCTGAGAAACTGAAGGCTACATTTTCAGTGTGAGTGAGAAATTAGGAAATCTGTGGTCCTGCATAAAATAAAGCATAGGGCAATGAAATACATCATCTATCTGGAAACTACTAGGACTCTGAAAAGAGCGACAAAAAGTAGGCTAATAGAATTGTGTAAATAGTTCTTATTCTGACAGCTGTAGCAATTGTAACTATTGTGATGATCAGGAGTATTCCGATCGCAAAAATGAGTAAGATCTTGTGGTAGTTTCTGATATGGGACACAAAAATCTCTCAACCTCTTTTTTGTTTTTTTTTTTTAATATGACTGTGTTTAGAGAAGGAGTGAGCCAATTCCATCTCCAAAGCCTGCTTGGTATATTTGGGAATCTGGGCATAGCTTTTCTTACTACTTCCTGCTGGAGAGGGGCACTGTATCTTATGGGGACACAAAGAAAATTTGAGGCTTATGGAGTAGTCCGTGAGGGTGTATTGTCTGATCCAGTTGCCTTGAAATCATTCTGGATGTTGGATTATCTGGGCCATGGTGTCATCAGAGACCTGTCAGGGAGTCTTGGCTGGTCAAACCTGATGTATCTTAATCTGGAACAAATCCATAGGCTCTTGCTTTCTGTGGAAACAAAAGCAGAGCCTCCTTTCCAAAGCAATATACTCTTACATCCAAATTTTGAAGTCAAGGTATCGTTAAAATATACATATTGGAGTAACTCAACAGTTTTTACAATCAAATGTCTTTCTGCAGTTAAGAATATCAAAGACAACATAATCCAGATTCTCTGTGTGATATCCATCTTTACGTGGCTTATTTTTTATATTAATTTTACTGTCTCTTTAAAGACTTAATTTTTAAAACTATCTATTTCTTAATATAACTGTATATATTCCTTTTTCTTTCTCTTCCAAGCCTATGTACATTTACAGATATTGTAAAGTATTCCATCTGAATCTGTCTTATTGTGAACCTATTGCTTTAAACTGCAGCATTCTAAGTGCTGTGGATATTGCTCTGTATAAATAAAATACTGATTGTCCAGTAGCCAGGCAGGAAGTATAGGTGGAACAAGCAGAGAAGAGAATTCTGGGAACAGGAAGGCTGGGTCAGATAGACGCTGCCAGCCACCTCCATGAGTACCAACATGTAAGATACTAGTAAGCCACGAGCCATGTGGCAAGGTCTAGATTTATAGAAATGGGTTAATTTAAGATATAAGAACTAGATAACAAGAAGCCTGCTGCAGCCATACAGTTTATAAGCAATATAAGTCTCTGTGTGTTTACTTGGTTGGGTCTAAGCAGCTGTGGTACTGGCAGGAGAGAGAGATTTGTCCTGACCGTGGGCCAGGCAGGACTGGAGAAAACTCCAGCTACAGTAGTTTGAATGTAACTGGCCGCCATAAGCTCACAGGAAGTGGCACTATTAGGAGGTGTGGCTTTACTGGAATAGGTATGGCCTTGATGGAGGAAGTGTGTCATTGTGAAGGTGGGCATTGAGGCTTCCTATTCTCAAGCTATGCTCATTGTAGATACAGTTCACTTCCTGTTGCCTGTGGAACAAGATGTAGAACTCTCAGTTCCTTCTCAAGCACCATGTCTGCCTGCCTACCACCCACCATGATGATAATGGACTAAATCTCTGAAACTGTAAGACACCCCAATTAAAAGTTTTCCTTTATAAGAGTTGTCATCATCATGGTATCTCTTCACAACAATAGAAATCCTAGTGAAGACAGAAGTGTTCAAGGAAGCAGCAGAAAATTTGCTATAGACAAATTACCTTTAGCTAGAACAAGCTTAAAACAATGCTATCAGTGAAGCTCTATCATGTGCTGAGGGGTGACTTGCTATTCTAGTGCCCCCCCCCTTTTTTTAACTCCTCTCTACCACACAGCTAGGAAGCAATGGTAGACACATCCCAAACTCCAATCACAACTTATCCAGATGTGATCAAATTCAGATGTACAAGACTGAGTCTAAAATAGAAAGTTACAGGATAGGAGCATTCCTACTACAAGATTAGTTCTGTACTTGGTATCTTAGAGCTGCACTTGACTCTGCAGCTCTCTGAGGGGCAGAGTAGCAGCTCACGGCAGCTTGTTATGAAGATTTTGGAATCTTCAGAACTCAGTTTTCTGTCTCTTCAACTGTAAAATATACATTTAAATGATGTCTAGGGATGGAGAGATGGCTCAGTGCAGAAAGCGCTTGTTATACAAGCATCAGGACCTGAATTCAAATCCTCAGAACTCACATACAGCTGGATATAATAGTGGGCATTTGTTATCTGAATACTCCCGTAGAAATGGTAGGCAGAGTCAAGAATCCCTGGAAGCTCACAGAAGGGGTAGCCAGCATCTGAACTGAAAAAAACAAAAAACAAAAACAAAAACTAAGAGCCTTTCTTGAACAAGGTGGAAGACCAGGCCAATGAGGTTGTCCTCTGACCTCATGTGTATCACAAATGCACATATGTATATCACACACACACACACACACACACACACACACACACACACACACACACACACACACACTCAGAAGAAATAGTACTTAACCTATAAACTTGTTATAGGCAAATTAAGTGTGAAAGTTTAGTACAATAATTGATAGCTAGAAACAATTGTCAGCTGTTAGAATTTCAATGTAAGTTACTAGGATTTTAATTTATAGTTGAAAATGAACAGAATTTGCATAATAAGTAGTTTTGGTCATGGGTGAAACCCAATAAGTTTTCTTCTCATGAAGACACGAGAAAACTGCCTTATCATGGACTCAAATATTGAAGAGGTGTTGCAAGGCATTGCCTATAAATTCTTGAGAACTGGTAACTATAGCAGGTAAGAGCAAGAACATCTGGAAAAGAGAAGTTTGTCACACACTGATATTCCTGGAAGCTAATTGCTTGGGACTGTTCAGGAAAATATGTGCAGATGGAGAATTCATAAATAGCATCATCTCATTAAAAATAACACAGAAAGTTAAACAAGCAAAGAATTATTTTGTTTCTCAGTTCACAGACTAATACTTGAATGCTGACTGAAATGCCATTTGCAAAGGTTCTTTCTCGACTTAGATGACAGAGAGCATTAGTCAACTCCTTAAATGGCCTTGGAACCTCTGATGTGCCATACTCTAGGCTAGGAACTGGGGACAAAATGGTACAAAGTAGATCAGTGACCTGAAATTTCAGTGTTGTAGGTTTATAGGAGTCAAAATGAGAGAAGAGTGGAGTTTGGATAAAATATAATCAACCCTGGGAGACAGTCCCTGGGGTCAATAGGAGTTAGTGCAATAATATGTCCATAATGTTTTACTCCTTTATTTTTAATATATCTATTTATTATTTGAGAATTTCATAATTGTACATAATCTATTTTTATAATATCCCCCATTCCTCCCACCAACTCTGATCCCTAATAACACATCCTCTGCTAAACTTCATGCCCTCGTGTGTGTGTGTGTGTGTGTGTGTGTGTGTGTGTGTGTGTGTGTGTGTGTGTGTTGTTAGGAACATAAGTGAAACCATTTTTGTATAATTTAAAAAACATTTTGTGTTACTTAGAAAAATGTAATTTCTAGCCTGTCACCAGGTAGCTCAGATATGCACTAAAACCAAGCCAGGCCTTGAACTATGCTAATGAACTAGCGTCAAGGTGGGGTTGATATGTTAGTGAACCAGCCCAAGCTGAGAGCAGGATAGCACAAAGCTACAACCCCCAAAAAATGATATAAAAATTGAGTGTCTTTGGAAGTGTCCCCTAGGATTACACCACTGTGCACTCCTGAGACCCGATTTCTCTAGCTTCTTTTTTCTATTCATCAGCAAGAAGACTTTGAGACTGGCCCTGTGTGGCCCTGACTTCAAGGACTGTTAAAGTCCCGGCACCACTGCTGAGCTACATTCCTGCCTATCAGTGCTAGCCACTGGCCAACACTTTCAACCTTCTGGACCTCCACCAGTGCCATCCTCCCAGTTTGCCATAGCTGAGGGACTTCACAGCATGGGTTGAACTTGGAAAGCTTCCAAAGAGTCCTCACCTAAGAAGATTCCCTAGTGGAGCCCTGCAGTAACATTGTCTTCCCAACTAACTGCTCCCTGCTTGGTGAGATGTCTGTTTAACTTTTACATTAGTCTGAGTGTGTGTGTGTGTGTGTGTGTGTGTGTGTGTGTGTGTGTGTGTGTGTGTGTGTGTTTATATATCCATCCATCCAACTAATCCCAAATATGCTACCCATATGTATATAGGCATAGAGCCATCCTTTGGAGCATGGGCAACCCACCAATGGCCACACCCCGAAGTCAAATGACTCTTCTTTTTCCAGCAGCCTTCCACTGCTAATATCTACTCAGTTAGTGGTGGGGCCCAGGAGCCTTTCCCTATCCATGCTGAAATTTGGACTAGCTTTTCCTTGTGTAGGTAGACATAGCTCCCATGAGTTCATGAGTGCAATAGTGATGTCATGTCCAGAAGACAGCATTATGTAACACTGCTCCTTATCCTCTGGCTTCATTTTGTACCTCAACTTTCTCTTAGATTACCCTTTGACTGAGGAAGGACAGTATAATAAGCAATATAGAAACAGTGCTATGAGGTGATCTGCAAATATTAGTGAAGTACAATGGCTAATCTTGGTTGTCAACTTAAATAGATTTGGAATCAGTGAAAAGACAAAGTGGATGGGACCCCTGTGAGGGTCTTTCTTGATCAGACTATTCGAAGTGGAAAGATCCACCATAAATGTGGTGGAAACTTCCAATGACTCCAGACAAAAGGACATGGAAGAAGGTACTTTGCTGTGTACTTTCTTGCCTCCACTCCAGCTGACAAGTCCATTTATTCTGTGGCTACCAGTGCCGCATTCCTCTGTTGGCATTAAAACTGACTTCTTTCAGCTTCCAACATAGACTGAAGACAACAGCTTTCCAAAAATCATCCAGACCTAATAATGTCTACTAGGACTAATGAGATATCCAGCCTTGTGGACTGAGCAACCACTGGATTCTTTACCTCTCTCTGTGAGCCACACATTGTTTAACTATCTAGAACTATAGTGCGAGCCAATCTAACAAATACACTTTTCGTATATTCATTATGCTGGTTCTGTTTTTCTAGAGAATCCTCACTAATTCGTGCAGGGATTTTAATTATTATCACAAATTTACATGAAAGTTCTAGCATTTTGCAGCACCATCTTACTCAGAGGGCCGGTCCACTAATCCACTGCCCAAGGTGAACAACCATCCCCCCAAGCACACAGATTCTGATTAGGATCTTAGTGCATAAACATGACTTATTAGCGAGCAAGTTATCACTCAGTTATTTAAAGACATTTCCAAAATTAAAGATGTTTTAAAAGTAAAAAAGCAAACAAACTTAAATTTTGATACAACCCAGGGAGTACAATCAATTAAAAGTATATAAACTATGTTCTTTGGGAAGGAAAAACAGAATTTCATACAACATAAACATAACAAAAAAGAACTTTTATGAGATTAAAAATAGATCCTTCGGGGGAGGGGGGGGAGATATTACTATGTCTCCCAGATTGGCCTGAAACTCAAAATCTTCCTGCCTCAGTTTCCTGAGAAGCCAAGGTATCTGGATATCTAAACTCTTAATTCAGTAAAAGAATTGGAAGATAAAATTGAGTATTTCCTCAACACATAGAACACAAGATAAAAGAAATACAAAATAATAAGAGAAAACTGTGAGGAAAAGACAATAAAATTCCAAGTTACCTGACATCCAAATTACAGAAAGTATAGAAACAAAAAAAAAATCAAAATTATCAAAGACATAATATAAACTTTACTAAGATAATTAAGGACACAACTCTCCAAAATGACTCCCCCCTCATTAGTCTCTGTCTCTCTCTGTCTCTTTGTTTTTGTCTCTCTCTATATACATACATGATAGATATAGATAGATGATAGATAGATAGATAGATAGATAGATAGATAGATATCAGAATATATTAAATGACCAACAACAACCAAAGAATGAGAGACTCATCAGATGACATAGCACTGTAAAGTTTCTAAACACAAAATATAGAAGATTTGGTATGAGAACTCAGAAAGTCTAGGATACATTCAAATTAGTAGAAATCATTATAGCGTCAGATTTAGCTATAATCCCAAATTCAATATTCAACCAAACTACCAATCAAAGGTACCCTATGTATGAGTTGGGAGAGAGCATGTTTTAAGGAATGCCAAAACCTCAATTACTTAGCACTGAAAAGCTTATCTCTTAGAGTCCAGGGAACCCTACAATTTTAAACATTTCTGTGGCCCTTAGCAATCAGGATATTTTTTTAATCTTCTTAACACATGGCTTCCTCCTTGGAGAAAGAAATTGCTTTGACGGATGGTACATACATATGACTCCTACTCATAGTTTATTGGCCAAAACAAGGCAGTGATTCTACAGAACTGTGAGGAGGCAATGAAGTACCACCATTTGCTGAGGAAAAGAGGAAGACTGACCTAAGGAAAGTAGAAATTCCTACTTTTCTTTGGAAGGTTTAATCAAGCAAAGCAATCAAGAGCAACTAGACTATGGCATCCAGAAGACAAGGACTCTTCATCACTGAACTGAAAACTAATGGTCCAGATTAATATAGGTAGACCCAGGGCTCCAAGAAAGTGATCTGAGAGGAAATAACAGAATATAGACCCTCTGGTCAGGTGGGAATTTGGAGGGAAAGATCATTGCAAGCTATAATGGAAAAATATTGGAATCAGTACTTACAAAGCAGTATAAATGAAAGCATAGTAACTGAAAAAAAATGAAGATTATATGAGGAAGAACGTGGATTATTTCTGAGCCATTTAATTTAGCAAAAATATAATTTTCCTAGTCATAATAATGTAAACCTTGACTTGGAACCAAAATTTTTATACAATCATATTAGCATAGAGATGAAAATAAGGAAGTTTTAGGAATTATAGACATTCATTTTTGTTTCCACACCCAAGAATTCAACCAACTCTAGATGAAAAACAGAAGAATTACATTGAACATGTACATACCACCAGAGGCTTAGATGACAAGATTCCAAAGACAGAAGAGTCAATCCTATGAGAACTATGACCTCAAGGAAACAAGAGACAAAAAAGTGACAAATGGTTCACTTTACCTTCCGTCCACATGCTGCTTATGACTGGTTCACTCATCACAGCCCATGTGCAGAAGTCACACATCAAGGTGACAGGGCCACTAAACACCTGTGCGGTGGCCATCACATGCCAACTCCTTCACTGATTGTGTCACCTCACATTTCTTATTCTTCATTCTCATGTCCATAGGTTTCCCTCCCATAAATAAAGGGTCAAAACATTAATCCTGAGTTAACC